GGTGTCTGTTGCAGCCGCCATGTTAGATATCTTCCCCCATGATTCTGTAAACGGAACTCATCCATATTTCAGCCTCTAGGGGCGTAACCTGGAAGTCACAGGATGCTCCCCAAGTGGCAATGCCGCACGGTCACTAAATGAAACAGACTCCATCCACGTTTTGGAATCTGATAGCAAAAAATATAAGACCCGCACATTGAGAAGTCAGTGAGTTACTTGTAAAGATAAGCCCACATTCACCCCCTCTAGATTAAATCCTCAAAGTACCAGAAATATGTCTGATCAAGTAAGTCTCATATCTGTTCTGTTGCTTAACAACAACTTTTATCAACTCTTTCTCATATCTGTTTAGGCATGTCCTACCCCGTTGGCATCGTCCCACCCAGAACCAGGTCCCCAGTGCCTGAGTCTTCCTCCATAGCGTCCTACGTCACTTTGAGGAAAAGCAAGAAGCCCGACCCCAGGACGGTAAGTGGCTTAATGTCAAGCGCCATCTTAATTGAGTTGAAGTTGTGCAGCAGGGCAGTCAACACATGGCCAGGCTGTTACTCATGCGCTAAAACCAGGCTTTCATAAAATAGATGCTAAGTGAGGTTTTATAGGCTTTCCAGCCTCAAACTATCATCTTACATAAACCAACCATATCATTAGTGCACCGCGCTGAAGGGTGTGTCCTCTTTCCAGTGTGTCTGCATTGGTTTCTGTTTAAAGAGAGATGAAAATATAAATTCAATCTCTCCTACTTACTTACTTCTTTGTTTTTTGTTGATCTAAAGGCCATTTACTCTTTCAGATTGTTTCTTAATGCAGTAAAGTTTGTGCTTGGATTTTAACACCAGGTCCACATCTGTGAGTCCTTCAGCAAAGCATAAACCGGAAAATTAGCGACTTCACATCATCAGCCCCTTCTATTGAGGCATTAATAAGCCCCCAGCCCTCAGAGTGCAGCCATGCGTGTCTGTAAGAGCGTGCCAGCATGCAGGAGTCAGGCTGTTCGGGCTGCAGATCAGCCAGTTTGCAGAAAGTAAAGAGTTTAAGTCGTGGAACGGTCAAGGAAGTCTCTGTTTTCTGCATGCAAACCATATTTGGGGGTAACTTTTAGACTAAATTCAACCATAGCCAATTTCACAGTTAAAACAGCACCATGGGATCTGACCTAACTAGAGTGTGACACCATTTGGCTTCATGCACTCTTTGAGCATAAGTATTTAAAAAAAATCATGGCAGCTGCATATTCAATGTCGAACATCTTCACTATTTTACTATACTTACATAATATTTTTGTAAATAGCTTTCTACTTTGGGTTGCTGTGAATCCCAGTTGAATAACCTTGTGCTAATTTTGGACTAGTTAAAATTACTCCTTCGCAGCCATCAAGTACAAATTCGCATGACGACATAAAACCGTCTGCACTATTTCACTGAGAGTTTTATTTTTCCCACACACTTTGAAAGCACCTCCTCCAAACAGGATTATTGTCACGCATGCAGACTAAACAAAATATGGCTACAGCAGGTGTTTCAGCTAAGCAATATACGGCAGTGGTTTGGATTTCATGCCGTGGACATTAAACAAAATGCGCTAATTTGTACACTGCAAAAACAATGTAAATCTAAATTAGTTATTTTTTCTTAAAATATGTAATTTTTTTTCTTGAATTGAGGAGGTAAGTGAGACACTTTGCCAATGGAACAAGAAAATTTACATTTAAAATAAGAAAAAATAACTGCCTTGTCTTATTTAAAATGCATATTATCTAATTATCTTGTTCTAAGAGTAAAAATACTCATTCCATTGGCAAACGATCTTATTTACCTGCTCAAATTAAGAGTAAATTCCCTTAATTTAAGAATTTTTGTACTTATTTCTAGATTGTTTTTGCAGTGTAAGACTAAAAACCATTGCTGTAAAATGTAGGAGTACAAATTTATTCCACATCCTAAAAAGTAATCTGCTGCAAAATGAAGAACATTGTAAACCCTGCATGTGAGCGTCTCCCCACTCGGATATTAAAACGTTCGATAAATCAGCTGTGAAGCCGATGGCGTCGTCCTCGTCATTTGATAAAGCGATCCCATATGAGAGAAAAAGAAAAAGATGGAGGGAAATCAGTGACAATATTTATTACGTTTTTTCAATGTTTTTCAGATGCTCTAATACCTGTGATGTTCAGATTTTTTTACAGGCGTTCTTTAACTTGGTAATGGTCTCAAATGTATAACT